CCTTGCAGTGATCCATATATATATTTATAGATATCTATATATATCTTGTATGTATAGAGATATATATATTGATAGATAGATAGATAGATATATGTATATATTGTATGTATATGTTGAAAGACTTAGTTTATTCTCTTATCACATTGTACTCACTCAAGTAGATGTTTGACTGCCACCTCAAACAATTGTGAAATTAAGATCACGTGTTGTCGTGTCAATAAGAAATGAATTGGCTAGGAGTGAATAAATGTATTTTCATCTTAGACAATATTTGACTTATTTTACATTTTGTTGTACTATCAAGATGTGTATCGATCAAGAATGTGTTAGAATTATGTTTTAAAGGTGATTCTGAAATAGATGTATTTAAGTAAAAAAGGAAAATAATAAGAAGATAAAAAGTTATTTATTGGAAATATAAATAAAAAAAACAATATGCTTACATCATCATATATTATTTTTATTTATTGGTTTAGTACATGATATGATTCATCACATTGTTCAAAATAAAAATTAACATATATGATGCTTTTAATTCTTGAGTACTATGAGTTAGAATTGTACTTAACACATTGAGTTTATGTTGAAAACTCTTTAAGTTGCTATAAGTCGTAAAAAGATTTAAAAAAAAATGTTTGAAAGAAGAAATAGTGTTTACCATAGACGGAACATCAATAAAGTAAGATATGATAATTTAACATTAATTTTAATTTTAGTATTTTATTGCTCTATTTTTGTTGTTAAATTTAAAGATAATAGTTAAAATTTATTGTCACAATATAACCATCAGTTCCTATCATGGTAATTTCAAGCCCGCGGGACGAATCGCAGAATGCACTAAAATACTAGTACACATAATATACAAGCATATACTTGTTATTCTTAAAATTATTAGAATAAATCATAAGTCTCATAAAGCCAACAACATATTTAATATAATTGCTAGAAAATATTATTAGAATTATTATTATTATTATTTTATTGATTATATACATAACCTTTAAATATGATTAACATGTCAAATTTGCATAGATTCGAATCTATTTAAACATATTAAAATATTGCTTGTTGGAATGTTCATTTTCCATAGTGCTTATCATAAATGATAGTACTTATTTCGTAACAGAAATGATTGTGCTTTGATTTTCACATAAGATATCAAGCATATTTTTTCTTCAATTAAAAATAAAAACTAAACCAGTTTAAAATAGCAGTTAAAAGTAAGGAAAATATATGAGACATGACGCTAGTAATTTGATTCTACTAAAATGCATTGTTGTTTCTATTTCCTGTTGAAAGTGTTCACAGCAGACCAATTTTTTAGGGATTCCTACAGATTTCAACACGTAATTTAACTGAGAAATTTCAGAAGCAATCAGTTCAAAAAGAGTTTGACGTACTCTATAAAAAGAATGAACAAAACACGAGTAATGTAAAACATACCATAATGATCACAGTGATATGCTAACAGCAGCCCGACATCCAGGATCAGTTTTCCAAGAGCTTTAAAAGCTGCAAAAATATGAAAGCAGGAAAAACTTTCTTCATATTCAGTACTGAAATAAGTTGAAAGGTAACTCTCCTAGAAAACACATTAGTTCATTTAAAGGGGTTTTAACAGCTTTGCTTCTAATAATTTGGCATCTAGATTCTATTTGATTATATACCACATGTGAACCTCCTACATGACGACCATGAGTAACACACTGCCAGGCAGCTCATCCATGTATATCTAGGCATCAACGATTTTAATCATGACAGCATCAAAAAACAATTCATGTGGTTTCCATCTCAATGATTTTTGAGATATTTTGAGCTATGAAATTGCTTATTTCCACAATGAGCAGGATATTCAAAACGAATTCTCACACTGTAATACAAAATGCTTCATTTAGGTATCTCTAGATTGCTATTTTGAGAAAACATACAGTTGTGGTAAGACAACTGAATCATGCTTCATTTGCACAAGTGAGACAGTATGACATGGTCATAATTTAAGGTGGTTGTTTTGGATCATTTTTCTTTTTTTTTTCCTAGTTTTATATTGTTATGTTTAAGTTTTGATTTGAAATAACACTTGATTAATAAGTTCAAAATAAATCAGCATATATAAAATAATATTCCGATTGTTTTGAATGTTATTAAAATAAGTTAAATTGTTTTTAAAAACAATAATAAAATCATACAAGAAATATACTAAATAAACATATGTTTAAAAAAAATTTGTTAGTGGCGGGGAGTGGGGAAAGAAAAAATTAGGAAAAGGATGGGAGGGGTCCAGGTAAATGAATAGTGGGGAGAGAAAAATGAATCAAGTAGTCGAGAAACCAAACAGAGGGGAGAGAAGTGAGTTGGGAAATGAAAGAATTACTTCGTTCTATAAATTGAAGAGTAGGGAGACAGGCGAGATCATGAGAGCGAATTACCTAGAGAGTCCAATGGCTGTTAGTGCTTCCCCATGCTTTGATCAATTGAGGCCGGTGTTAGTGGCTGGCGACGAAATCTTTGTCAAGCGGAGGAGGATGTGGCGTCGGTACCGTGCAGATGAACAGGAAGCAGGATGAAGAAGGCTCGTGTGAATCATTGCATCAAGAGGCCTGATGCAGTTTTGCATGAGGGCTCCAATCAGGTTCTGTCACATGTATAGACAGACCCACCCAAGTATTAAATTGGGGGTCTGTTTGTACACATGACAGACACTGATTGGAGTCCTGATGCAAAACTACATCAGGACTGACTCCTGATGCAATAATTTTCCATGAGAGAGAGCTCAAGAGAAACCCTGCAGTGATCCAATTCTCGCATAAGGGTTCTTCGCATGGTGTATGGCTAGGTAAGGGTTGTTAAATTGATATTAAAACTTAATAATAATAATAATAATAATAATAATAATAATAATAATACTAGTAATAGTAATAGTAAGATGTTTATTAGAAAATTTAGCGAAATTTCATAAAGTAAATATTTAAATAATCATAAATTAATATTTTATTAAAATAATAAACTAATTAATTTTTTTATCATGTTTAAGCATTCCATTAAAGAAAAAAATTAACGTCAAGAGCAAACGGACTATCTACCAACAAAGTGAATACTCTTATTATCAAATTATAGTATCATTTTAATATATCTTCTAAACTAGTTTTATGGGTTGTTAAATATGCTTGATTAATGCAATTGATTGTTCTATCATTAAACTTTATCGGCCATTTCAATGCAAATGCTTATAATCTTATAAAATGAAATAATTTATGCATTATAGTATTATATATTGAGTGATATGAAATTATGAATAACATGATTTGCATAAATTGTTTGTATGTGCATGACTTATTATGATAGAATCACCTTTTGATGGTACTAGCGGGAGAATACTAATGTACTCGTGCACGTAAATGAAAAAGAATATTGATATTGAAATATCTTTATTAGTACAAACTTTTATACAGTGCTCTTGTAATTGTTGTATAGAAATAAAATGATATTGATATATTATTGATATAATAAGACTCTTTGAAAATAATCAAATATTTATATTAATTAATTAAAAATTTTAACTGACATACATATATTACTTCATTCTCACTTGTATTACCGTAGTTTATAGTAAGAGTATTCACTGGATTGTTTAGTTCATTGTTATTTTAAACTAACTTTTAATATTAATTAAGTGATTAACAGATGAACGATATTGATATATTATTGATATAATAAGACTCTTTGAAAATAATCAAATATTTATATTAATTAATTAAAAATTTTAACTGACATACATATATTACTTCATTCTCACTTGTATTACCGTAGTTTATAGTAAGAGTATTCACTGGATTGTTTAGTTCATTGTTATTTTAAACTAACTTTTCATATTTATTAAGTGATTAAAAGATGAACATTTATAGAAGACGTAGAAAAAAAAAAGTAATGGGGTAATTTTAAATATATATGTTGTTTTAATTTAACTCGATTAGTGACTTTCATTTTCTTAATTACTAATATATATATACATTCAGACACAGTGATACACTCAAAATTATAGAAGAAGAGAACTAGATAAAAAATTAAGAAGTATAGCCTACTATAAATGTGAATTTGAATGTCCTAACCCAAATGATGGCGGTGATGACTCAACCGATTCAAGAGTCCAGATCGTAACCTACCGGGAGTGATATAGTCGTCGTGGATAAGTACCTGAAGATATTTCAAGATCTGTATCCCTATTTATTCGATGAAACTGAGACCTGATATAAGCAAAGAACAGACAAATAAAGATAGAGAAGATACTAGATAACATGGCTTGTCCGGATGAAAGATGAGTATTGTTGACGACGTTTGTACTGGATGGAGAAGCCGAAAGATGGTGGTGTGGGCAGCGTCAGGAAAACTTAGGGACATACCAAACATGATGGTTGGTTGAGAGGAATTCGTGGAACTATTTAGAGAATAATTTGTACTCCTATCCGCTCGAAAACAGATGCAAGGCAAGTTCATAAGGTTGAGGCAAGAAGAGAATATTGTTATGTAGTACTAAGCATAATTTATTGTACTATCCAGGTATGCGCCATAGTTGATGGCTACTGCAGAAAAAAAGCGTTACAGATTCCTTTTGGGATTAAAATATTCAATCAAACAGTCTTTATTATCTTTAGGGATCGATGAATACTCAGTATTAGTGGAACAAGCTAGAAGAGTGAAAATCGACTATCAACTTACTCAAAAGCTTAAGAAGATGCACAAGAGAAAGAGCGTTTAAGAAAAAGAATACCATCTAGATCAATCAGAGGTTCAAACGAGAAGTCTAAGAAAGATTTGAGTAGAATTACCAGAGGTACAACTCAAGGTACTAGAGTCGCTTATGACAAAAATGCGAAAGACAATATAAATGTGAATGTTTAATGGGCTCTAACACTTGATATTGGTGTCGTCAGTCCAGACATATAGCAAGATATTATCCATCTCTTGGTTCGAAGAGCACTGAATATCAAAAAATTATGTAGAGCTCTTTCACACAAGACTACAGGTGGGTAGAGAAAGATATAGTCTATAGCTTCAGCTCCGACCTAAGGACAACCAAGAAAACCTGTTCGATCGCGAGTGTATTCCCTTATTCATAGTGAACCTAAAGAACCACTGTTACTGATGGTGATGAGGTATGATAAGTTGGTGTTTTCTTATATATAGAGTATTTTCCTAACATGCTTTCTTATTTCAGTATTGTTATCCAAAGCATAGTGGAGAACCCTGAATTATGGAGGTATACATTGGAGTCTAAAGGACTTCATTTGAGTAGAACTAAAACTGAATATATGGAATGTAATTTAGTAGTACTAGCTCTAGTGACAGAGTTGTAACTATGGGTGATTAAATCATTAAAAGGTGTGAGCTTTTTAGATATATCGAGTGTATTGTTCAAAATGATGGTGATATAGGTGGGGATAGTATTAGTGAAATTCAAGTTGGTTGGAATGCATCGGGTCTATTGTTTGATAGAAAAGTATCGCTTAGACTAAAAGGAAAATTTTATAAATAATGATGAGACCTGCTGCTCTATGGCGCAGAATGTTGACCTTTAAAAGAGAAGCATAAAACAAATTTAAGTGTGGCTGAGATGAGAATGCTTAGGTAGTTTAGTGACTATACACTTAGAAACAAATCTTAGAGACAAATCGCGAAATGAAAATATCTGTGATAGGGTTGGTGTAGCTCCGGTGGCGGACAAGATTAGAAAGAGTCATCTTAAATGATTTGGTCACAATAAACGTTGACCATCTGCTAATCTGATTAAGAGTGTAGATGTTTTAGATTTGACTTATGATAAGAAAGATAGAGGTAGACCTAAAAATACTTGGGACCTAAAAATACTTGGGCCTAAAAATACTTGGGCATGTTATATAAAAAATGATCTTAAATTATTAGAATTAAATGAAAATATGACACTAAAAAAGATAAATTATTTCTTATTTGCACATACATTAAGCATATCGTGTGCATATTTATCAGAAACTAAGTCGTGCTTGCTCCATCCAAATATCCTGGTGACATAGAAGATTGAATTTAGAAATATGGGACTTACAATCCAGATTGATTTTTAGTAAAATTAAATTTTTATGCATATGTAAGATGCATAAATGTAACAATTAAAATTAAATTGCTAGATATATAAATATCTAAGAACTGAGTGGGGTATGTATGTAAATCTTTCTAACAATAATAACAAAGATTGCAGCCTCCTTTCCCGAGTCCCGGCGCTGGTGTGAAAGGTTATAGAGGGATAGGGCGAAGCGTGAGAGATAGCAAGTGAAATGAAGCTTGAAAGAGCGAGAAACAAGTAGGTAGTCAGGAGAGAGACGAACCGCAAGAGAGGAAAAAAATTTGCGTACGTCAAGGGGTATGCATCTCTGCGTACATAATAGTGTACACGGGAGTTATACAGGGATTACAAGAGGGTTATAACCCGTTGTACCTCCCGTGTAACTCTCGTATAACCTCCCGTGTAACCCGCGTTTTTTTTTTATCCATTGAAATTACAAGGTTACAGCAAGGTTACACGGGAGTTACACGAGAGATTATAAGGGAGTTACACGGGAGGTACAACGGGTTATAACCCTTTTGTAATCCCCGTATAACTCCCGTGTACACTATTATGTACGCAGAGATACGTACCCCTTGACGTACGCAAATTTTTTCCGCGAGAGAGAGGGAAAGATCATGAGAGACGGAGGGAGCCGAGACAAATTAAGGAAGATCATGTTGTTTGACAATTTGTTCGAGACCGAGCCAGCTTAAGAGTTCGGGTTTTTTTTTTTCCTCTCTCTTAATTTAAGAATAAAAATTTAGAAGTTATGCACAAATATATTACAAATTATTTCAAAGCTTTGGATGACAAAGCATAAGGTTTAGCAAAAAAATGTACAAATTGCAAAATTAGGGATGACTGGCAGGTTCAATCAAGGACTTCTAAGTCCTAAGATTTACAGATATGTAAATTGATACATTAAAATCAATAGATAATTATTAAATTTAATTTAGGTAAAACTATATGCTTTTATGTTACAAGATTTAATTAAAGAGTTAATGAACTTTATAATTTCAATAGAATTTAGAAGATTTATGAATATTTCAAGATAATTATTTAATAAGTATAGTTTATATACTTGAATACTGTTAAATAATGGATCATATTAAAGGGAATCTAAATTTTATGTTGTGTTTGATATAAATTTGAAAAGTTAAATGCTTAATGACAGTAAACATTAAATTAGATATTAAGTTAGGGAATTTGAAGATTTATTATAGTTTATATACATAAAGAAAGGTACAAAAAATTTACTAACCATGAGCTATATTATTTAAGGAAGGTAGCCTAGTATAAAATAATAAATTGTCATAAAAAATGATATACAATTAAATTAACATAACAAAAAATGCATATAATTAAGCATAAATTTTAGAAATCAATCAATATAAATGTTTTATAAATAATTATGTATTTTATTATAACTATTAAAATAAAAGAGGCATGGATAAATAATTAAGTGACAACATAAATCTATAGATATTAAGGTGGCTGAGTATAATCTTACAATAATTTATAATACTTATCTAATTTGATGTACTAGCTGGCATAATCTCGTTATACACACAAATTAGATAACATTTATGATACTTATTGTAATTGGCAAATGATTAAAAAAATGTTCCCTTGTACTAACCCAAATGTCTTCATATTATTATTTTGTATAAAATGCGTTTTATTATAATCATATATATTGACAGCTTTAAAAATATATATGACTAGATGAATAAAAATAATATACAAACAAAATACTTGTGCATAATAACTATTGAAGTTCACCACCTTATAATAGTTGGGGACACTTGATCCCACACAAAATTATTACATGTTCTCAAGTTGAAAAAGGATATGAACAAGAATGTGCCTGAGTATGAATTTTAAGATTCCTCCTGTGATGGATTTATTTTATTGAAAAATAAGATTTATTGTTGTATTATAAGCTTTTTAATAAATATCATATTATTAAATGATAATGAATAATTTAGAAAAATTAAATGTTTTAAACTCTCGTTAAAATGAGCTGTTAGTGCTCACTTATGATGACTTGCACATGTACTCTTTCTATTTTGTAATGCTACCATGGTATAGGATTATAATTAACCACTGGCTCTAATAATAGCTATTTATTTTCAAGAAAAATTCCTTTTGTTTAGATGGTTAAAAAAACAGAAGCAATTTATGATAGTTATGAAAAAACTATTTATTGAAGAGTATCTTATTTTAGTTGTTTTGATTTTAAATGTATAAGACTAAATAAAATTATTTTTTCAATTAGAATGAACAAAATTTTATAGTTTAGTGGCTCTTTAAGGCTTTGGAAAATATGATTATTGGACTATTTATAATAGAAAGAGAATAAAATTAAATTATTATTACATTGTTTGTTCTTATCTTGATATTATAAGGCTTTGGTCAGGTCATGAATAAAGTGGTAGTAGAGCCGAGTTAGCCTTAGAAATAATATATAGTCATGATAAAAGAGTCATCAAGGCAATTAATGAATTATTATAAAAAATTAGAAGACTTGATGGATATATAAAATGTAATGAGTGTTACTTAATTTATAATGCTAATATTCCAAGCCTATGGACTTTGATTAGACTAATATTAAGGAGAATTCCACAAACGTTAGAATAAGGAAATCACCCACTGTAGAAGTATGAGAATCTCTTAACCCACATTAGCCATTTTCTAGCTTCAATTTGCCCCTTGGTGTCAGGTACGATTGGTGATCCCATATCAATGAAATATTTTCAAATGCTTAAACATTGTAGCTCCCCCACTTCTACTCAAATGGGATTGGGAATTCTAAATCAACTATCATTGATGTCATTATTAGTTGTTTGTGAGAAAAGTTTTACGGAAAAATTTGATTGTACTATCACTATTTGAATTTGATGCAATTTTAAGAATGGATTAGCTATCTTTCCACTTAATAAATGTCATTTTCCCTAGACATGTAGAATTTAATTTCTTTGAGATCTTGGTTTGTTATCATTGATAATAACCACTTTGATAGCTTCTAAATTTTTAAACCATAGATATCAAAGTTTTGTTACTCAAATAAAATATGCAACAAAAATGTGAAAGAGTTGAAGGATATACTAGTAGTGGAAAAATACTCAAAAAGTCTTCTTAGATGATTTGCTTGAATTATTACTAATAGGAGAGATAGATTTTACTATTAATTTATTACCAAGCACAAAACCCCTGGATAGAGCACCACATTTGATGACAAATAAGGAATTGCAAAAGTTAAAGAGTCGGTTGTATAAATTTTTGGAAAAGGCTCTAAAATACCTAATTCATAGCCATGGTGAGCTCTGATAGTTTGTAAGGAAAAATAATAGAAGTTTTAGAATTTTTATTGATATAATAATTGAATAAGCTCACCACAAAAAAAAAAAAAAACATCACAAGGATTGAAAATCTTTTCTATCATCTTGAAGAAGCTTCAATTTTCTCTGAGGTTGACCAACAATTAAGATATCACCAATTACGTATTAAAGTAAAAGATATAGCTATAAAAATAATTAAAATGAGATATGCTTACTATGAATTTGTATTAATAATGCATTGTACTAGCAAACTAAAATTTAAATTAGTCTAGACATTTTAGGTTAAACGTAAAAAGTCGGATTTGATGGTTCTTGAACAAATTATACCTTACTGAAATATTATACTACAAGAATCCATCTTTTGATCACAGAGTAGAAACAAATAAGTTGCACTAAATATATTAAATTAAGTATTCCACGACATGAAAAGAAAAGTCAAAACTAACATTGACTGTTAAAAAACCTTAACACGATCTTTTTCGTGATACTAAGTATAAAGTTCATAATTGAAGTTCTTGTAGATGCAATTAGGTGAAAAATTTGTTAACATAATTCACAATTCATAGATTATGCCTTTATCATCTGCAATTATAAGAATATATATACACAAGTGATTCTCACAAACCTGATTCAAGATCAGGCAAAGCATGAGTAGGCCATATATTTGGTCGGCAGTAGTGTGGATACCTACAAAAATATACTTCTTATGTAAATGGAAACGGTCATATAATCATAATTTCACAACTACGAACTAAAAAACCTGATGTAAAATAATTAATTACAACGTAAAAAAGCTACAATCATAACAAGTTCTTAAAAAAAAAAATTTAATGATAAAATAGTCTAATACAATGTTTATTTGCGCAAGTAGTCTCTAAATTTTGGTCTAATATTGATATGTAAGTATGTTTTTATGCTTGAAGAATGTGCCTATTGAAAATAGAGAATTTATTTGAAAACATGAGACACAAAGTTGCACAGTAAGACGGAAGCATTGACAGCAACCTGAAATAACTATATTTAGGTTCCCGTTACACTTGGAACAACATTTTTTTTGGTAACACTACCAAAATATTTTTCTTTGTTCCTTCTGACCATGTCAACTTTGGTAAACAAATTTTCTTTCTGATCACACATTCTTCAAGCTCATTGCCACTTTAGTGTTCCTCTTTTATCCTTCGTATAATACCCAAACATCTCAATCAATAATCCAGTAGCTTGTCTTAGTAGATACTCACCTTAAATTTACTTAGAGATTGCTCGGTTAGTTGAAAAAGGAATGCAGTGTAATTGGAATGTAGAGTATTTGAAAATATTTGGAGTTATTTGGTTCAATATAAAATAAATACAAGGTCTACATTTTTGTTTGTGATTGGCAATAGGAGGCGATGGCAGAAGCTGCTTGAAATGGCAGCAGCAATGAGTGCAGTATAGAGCGAGCAGGCAGCAGTGCTGCGGGCAGAAAGAGGCAATTTACATTGTATTTGAAAATCACACAAATTTAATAAATTTGAAAAACAACAATTTTGAACTACATGGTGAATTCCAAAGTCACCAAAATTTTGCATTAAATTCCATTTTCATCAAGCCAAATACTAAAATTTTAAAACACCTATTTTTTGTTTACTTTACACCAGAAAGTATATATATATAGCTATATATATAGTTATATTCCTCAGTTTTGTTTACTTTACACCAGAAAGTATATATATATACCTATATATATAGTTATATTCCTCACTCATAACTTATACAATTTACCAAATTCTTCCTCGTGCTTCCCTTGGCCTTCAAGTTATGATTTGTAAAATGAACTACTTCCAGAACATTATGCAAAAATGATGTGACTTTCCAGATAAAAGAAAGAAAACCAGCATTATTCAACAATAAGAGATCAGGAGAAGACAGCTGCTCTTTTCATAGGTAACCAAATAAAGCCTTAACTTCTAAAACAATATCAACGGGAAACTTTACTTGAAGCATGCTGGTCCGTTTCACATAGAAGAAAAATGAAATTAAAATAATAGCACGAGCTATGACAAATAAATTTCTTGAGTCGCTTGCAGATTCTACGGTGCACCAAAAATGTATAAAATTAATATTAATAATAAACAACTATCACGTCCTTCAATGTCTGCAGTAGAAGTGTAATACTAAGGACAATTAATATTAATAATAAACAACTATCACGTCCTTCCATGTCTGCAGTAGAAGTGTAATACTAAGGACCAAGTTAAAGAAAGGTCATTATGGTATCACTGAAATGTCTTCTCAATGATACCATGCCTTAGTACCTTCCATATGAGATAAATATTGAACAGTAAGTGATAATCATTCAGCGACATCAGAAAAAACTAAAAAAATTGTGTAATTGCTTCAGACATGACTATTTAATTTTACAATCAAGGAATAGTGGGTGTAAATGAAGAAATTCCAGGTGCTACTTCACATTTTAAGGCAACAGCTGAACGTGTAAAAAGAAAGGCATGCAACTGAACATACCGCTGTATGAGGGAACTATCAGTCGTGGGCACATCTAAAACAGGATTGGCATAAAAAGATCCTTTATATGTATCTGAATTATGGCACAACAAAAAAGGACTAATAGTATCAGCAACATCAAAGTAAAAATTTGATGATGTAAACCAATGTTATAACACAAAATTTATATAATCATTCAAATAAAATTACAGCGAATAAAAAAATTAATATTAATGTAGAACATGCACAGAAACGGAACAAATAACAAAGCTGGATTTAAAAAGTCAAAATAAATTGTTTGCATGACAATAATAATGATGAAATTGAATTAATTCCCTTAGTTTTTATCATAGTTTACAATTCGAACTCCCTTTCATTTATCATATAGTTTCCACAGTTGCATGTCATACTTTTTTCATATATGAATATAACAGATGCATATCAGGAAAATTGAAAGGTTTGTAAAATGATGTATATCAATGATGAAACAATCATGTGGATGCAGTGACAAATAAAATTTATGGAAGCTCATAACAGTAACACTTACCAAATTTACCAGATTCAAGTTTCTCCTTTCCATGGCTCCATCCAAAATTATACCTGAGAAACAAATAAAAAACATGATGCTCTACTCTAAGCTTGTCCTGAAAAAACAATCAAGGCATAACTATAGTGTTGCTTTGTTAAGCTAAGCAAGCTAAAAGTTATAAGAAGAAGATGCTCAAAGTCATAAATCAAGAGAAGGGAAACAAGTAGGACCTACATACATTTGTTTGATCAAGAATAAACTGAATAAAACGAAAGTAGAACTTCAAGCAATACTGCTGTTGATAGGTTGAGGTTCCATATAAGAGGTTGTAAATGAAAGAAAAGCTTACTTTCTACTGAGGTTTGATAGAGCATTATAGGTCGTTTCATATAGAAACTTATATACAAAAAGCATGATAAGACTACAAAGTAAAAATAAAAAATATCTAGAAACAAGACCAAACAACATGCACTGTCGAATTGATATCCTCATTTCTTTCTGTTTCTTTTATCATTACTTCATATTCTTAAATCTGTGATTGTGTCCATATCAGTCAATCCATACCTGCTATCAGGATCTTCAAGCTGATTTCTAACATTATTTGGCAGGCTTGCTATTCTGCAGAAAGCGTATTTTTTTATATTATATATGACTATCGCTGCAAGACTTAAAACATCTAAAGAAGATATGAGTTGTATGCCTGGGTGATAGATTTAAGAGAGTTTGGCGTAAATCAGAGAATTCAGGGACCTGCAGTTCAAAATAAAAGGTAATTAAAAACTAGTTATCAAAATCAAATTAACGGCATGAGTTTACAGAGCACGCAATCAATACGATAAGGATGAAACAAATTCAAATGCAACGTAATTGAATTCCAAACAAATTCAATACGATGGAATATTCGCATTATGAAAAATTTTTAATTTCTTACGAGATTGACAACTGAGAAAATAGCACCCTTGAAAACCCCTAAAAATTCGAAGTATAGTCTTCTTGAGTCCGATCATACGGACACTGCAAAAGTATAAAGGACAAAAAACAACTTAGCGAATTCACGACGTACTTCTGATATTGATATGATCCCCAATCCATTTGGTCCAAACCCTTCTTCGATCTTTAATGACAAATCCCGGCACTCGTCCTGCTTTATCGCAGAGCTCGCATGTTTAGAAAGCTAAAAAGTAAATCACAAATGAATAAATGAGCACGCATGCCGTTCAATTAATAGATGAGAGGACCTTGAGTTCCGAGTACGAGATGGAAACTGTCCTCTCTGTTCGAACGGGGCTTTCGGCCTCCACGGACCTCTTCTGGCATGACACGCTGCGGCAATTGAGTCGCCCGCCGGCAAGCGGGGAAGACGACGATCGCGCAGACGCGGGGTTGAGGCCCAGGCTTATAGAGAAGGTTTTGTAGGCAAAGACGGCAGTCATCGCTCTCCCTCTGGAATCAAAAATTGAAAGCAGGTTACCTCTTTATTTTGGCGGTTCTTTGATTGCGTTACGCGATAGGAAACGAATTTAATTGGCGACAGATGAAGACGCGCGAGAATTGGATCGCTGATAATATTCTAACGTTACGATTTTTATTTGAAAATTGAGTTGCAAAAATTCATGGCTTTTAATTGAGAGTCTTCTGGGGCTGCTCTAGCTTATTAAAAGGTTTATCCGTAGTAATTGTGCCAACAAACTGATGCACAGAAGCGGTTGCTAGGAAGTTGAGTATTTATTTATTTTTTGTATTTTACAATAGTTTAGCTACAGTTATTTATCATAAATGATATTTTTTACCCGATAGTAGCGTTTTGTTTATAATATTTATCATAAATGATATTTTTTACCCGATAGTAGTGTTTTGTTTATAACAGAATCTGTAACTTATTAATAGGTTGTTGCGCAACATCTACCTCAAAAAGCTGTTGCGGTTAGATTGTTTGTTTATTAATTATTATTTGTTTATTGCTGTTTGAAAACAGTTGCAGCACAGCTGTTTTTGGATAAATGATCATTCTATCAATGTGTAACAATGTTGTTTGTAACAGAATTGTCATAACAATATATTTTATACTTTATAAGTAAAAATTACTACATAACACTGAAAAAAATAAGATATACATCTATTAATACGATGATGTTATTTTTAAAATAGTATTTACTAATACGATAATATTATTTTTAAAATAGAGACGACATATCACGAGTCAGACCATCTTCTAGGAATGCTATCAATTTCTGATCACTGTCGGCGATGAATATGTTATCTTATCTGCTCATCAGAAGAAGTCACACTTCTCTGTAATTATTTGCGGGCATCTATAGAACCGTCTCCCATAGGTATGTGTCTAACGTGACATTAGTAAAGAAGTTTAAAGTTCACAGTGACATAACAATCCTCGAGAGGTATCAAAAACCCTCAAGCACATATTTCCTGAATGTTTTAAAAGATTATTCATTAGTCATAATAGAAATATAAACTTTTTTTAGAAATAATTAATTAAGTTGGTGTGAGGTCTCAAAGAACTTAGTATACCAACCAACGAATCTATCACTATAAGAAAGCTGCAGATCTTGTCAAAAAGGGTTCTTGATTGTCTTTAACTCACGTTATATCAAGCTCGTGTGTGTCGCATATGCATATTACCAAAAAAGACAATCAAAAGAAGCTCAGAAATCGTATTGCTAAAAAAAGAGTGGAACTTGGTTGATTTTAATAAGATTTCACACGTGACACCAACTAATACCAACAATCTGGCCGTCTAAAATAACTCATAAGGTCTAATGTCTCATCTTGGACATTTTACACCCACCAAAAGAAAAACAAAAGAAAGGAAACTAGAAAAAAAAAACACTTACAGACATTGTAAAAAACTTAAATAATTATCATCAAATATATGAGGAACAAAAATAAACATGAACTCTATAAAATAAATAAGTAGAAATTAATAAAATAAGTAATTAATTACAATTTTGTGTAGGGTGAGGTCTTTGAGAACTTAGTATACCTACCAACAAACTGTCACTACAAGAAGACAATAAACATTGTAAAAAAAGGGCTCTTGGTTGTTTTTAACTCATGTAATACTAAACTCGTGTGTTTCACATATTCATATCACCAAAAAAAAGTCATCCATAATAACCTCAAAAACAGCAACATCAAAAAGAAGAGAGAAACTTAGTTGTCTTTATTAGGATTTCAAATGTGACACTAACCGACAACAACTAATAAGTCATTCAAAAGAACTCATAAGATCAAACATCTCATCATAGACCTCTCAATCCCACCAATAAAAACATGAAAAGTAATGGAAAAAAAAACAATTATAAACAACGTAAAACCCAAACACAATCGATATCAAATATGCAAGGAGCACAAATAAACATGAATTGTATTAAACAAACAAGAATCGACCCATTCAACATCTAACAATGACATCAGTAATGCGCTCTCTCAATTCAAACATTTCTTCGACACCTTCGTCATCCTAGATGCAACCTTCTTTTAAATCTTTTTTATTGTGACATAGATTGTCATATGTGTTATTCAAATGCTTCAGGTGAGACGTATAAATGATCATTGTCAGCCATGTTGAAGTCTCATCAGTTCGAGAATGATGTCGTCGAGTGTAGTTGTTGAGTCATTGTAGCCACTATAATCTGTGCCTGTTTTGAAAATGGAAAAGTCAACATATCACGTAGTATAAACCATTTTTTCTTTTAGACTTCAAATGTTCTTTCAATTACATCATGTAAGGAGAAGTATCTCTTGTTAAATATTTTTATTCTATCCCGAGCAATATTGTTGGATCTTTAAAAGTCGGGAATGTGATTTTTGATATACATAAATGACTTTAGATATCACTTTGTAGAGAATATCCAACTCGACCAAATAATATTTATATGTCCTTAAAACAATAATTAGTAATGAAATTAAAAAAAATCTGAAAATGATTAATAATTGAACAAATGTGGAGATGGGTGAGGGAAGTTGTGTATTCAATTTCTTGTCATAAAAGCGAATATGCGAATGTCATGTGCACTGTCTTCTGAATCAGTCATAACAAAGGTAAAACACATGTTGAAATCACATACGACCATCTCATTTTGTAGAGATGATCCACATCGCCCAATGAATGCGCTCTTTTCATTATTGGATACACGTGCATCTATGTGAGTTCCATCGATCACTATATAGTCCTAACAAATTACATTAAGTTTTGCTAATTACTTTACTCATTTCACTTCTGAATATAATGAGTAAAAAGATTTACCTTAAAAAGTGACATATACATCGGGTCATTTGCAATCCTTACTGGAGACTTCTCAAATGTGGGATCCTCTAGCTTGATAATCTGTGACGACAAACTAAAAAGAGTCTTCAATTCCAATGTGAAGTATTTGTTGATTGTCTCCAATGAATTTTGAAATCACTTTACCCTCTCATGATTTATTATGTGATAAAATGTAGATGATTATTGCTAACACTAAGGCTGTCCAAAAAGCTCGTTATTCACGAACAATTCGTGTTCGGCTCGTCTGGGTGTTCACGTTCAATTTGTTCGATGAACAAACGAAACGAGCTCGAATAATTTTTTTTGTTCGGTTTGTTAAACGAACCAAACATGAACATTGATATGTTTATTCGTGTTTGAATCATTATTGTTCCAATTATAAAATAAATTAAAATATTTATATATAAAAAACTTATGATATTTTAAAAATAATTATGTACTCTAAAAATTTATCATTTTTTTAAATTAAATCATATAAATTATAATATATAATAAATTAAGAATAGTAATATATTATTATTAGTAATATAAAACATATTTATTTATATAATATAAGTTATATAATTAATATAATATACTATATATATTAAATATATATATATATATACACACAAAATTAAAACCCTAATCTCCTTATCCAGTTAACGCTAGACGCTTCGGCCTCCCACCCTTCTTCTCTCGAAAGCTTTCGGGTTCGGCTTCTGAGTTTTCTTCTCTGAAAATCGCGAAAAGCTTTCGGTCGCGAGAGCTTAGAGTTTGTTGTTTGTGTTCGTTCTCTAATCATTACTACTATTCTCTTCGATAACATATCTTTCTCTTCGGTGAGTCGGCGTTGGATCAACTACTCTGTATTCTTGCTTGGTTGCTTGTAAGGATACCAATGTGTCATCTTTGAGCCTATTTTTTTGTATGATTTCATAATTATCTTCAGATTCGCCTCTTAGTTTAAACTTTCTTTTTTTTCAGACTTATTTAATTTATTTGAGGGAAACCTAGTACTGCCTCTACATCTAGTTTTGTTGTGAGCTCACTGAGCTCTGCTCTCTCCAAGTTTTTGGAAGTTTTTGGAAGTTTTTGTTATATTCATGCAATGTTTTTGGACTTGGCTTTCTCCAATGCTCGGGAATGTGTCATGAGTATGTGATGTTTTGGTTTTTTAGGATTTGAAGAAACAAATCTCTAAAAGACTTCTCTTTAAGAACTTGATGTTGTTTTCACTTTAGATTTATGTTCTCAAATTTACTTAAGGAAGATTTATATTAAAGCACTTATGGCATTGCTCTTAAACTTTTGATTGAATATTAGTAAATTTAGAGGTTGAGCTAACTCGTGCCAAGGATCATTTTGATGCTAAAGGTTTCATAGTCATGGGTGATTATTATTGCATGAGGATGGACTTAAATGTGGATTTAAGGGAAGAAAAAAACCCTTAGACCAATAAGTGTGGATACTTGTCAAGCTAGATAAATGTCTGTCATTTTCTGTGAGTAAGATTTGGTTTGTTGGTTGCTTGGGTACTATTTGGTGGGGTATTAATGTTCGACCAATGTCATTAAAATTCAAACATACTTATAAATATTTGATGAAAACTATGTATAGTATTTGGAAGGGATTTTAATGTACTTTTGATGTTGGTTGTTGACTGTTGTTGGCTATTATTGGTTGTTATTGGCTGTTGTTGTTGGTTGATGTTAGTTGTTATTGGTTGTTATTGGTTATTGTGGTATTCATGGTGTTGTTCACGGAGTATGTTGGTGTTATTGTGCTCCAGAAAGTTGTTATTCTTGGTTTCTGTAGGCATTTTGGTTTTATTGAAGGGGTTTTGAAGTTGTTTTTTTGGTGTTATTGTTTTCTTTGGGGCTCACTATTTGGTGGCGTTTTCGTTGCTTTATTTCAGGTTTTATTCTAGGTTTTTGTAGGTGTTTTGGTGTTATTGAAGGGGTCTTGGAGTTATTATTACTTAACGGGTCACCGCTTTACTGTGTGTTATTAGTTGTTGTGGTATTCATGGTGTCTGTTGGTGTTATCGTGGTTTTGAAGTTGCCTTTTGGTATTATTGTCGTTTCTAAGACTCACTGTTTGGTGGTGTTTTCTTAGCTGTATTCCAGGTGTTATTATGAGTTTCTTTAGCTGTTTTGGTGTTATTGAAGGGGATTTGAAGTTGTTTTTTGGTGTTATTGTCTTTTCTGGGGCTCACTCTTTGGTGCTGTTTTCTTAGCTGTATTTCATTTCAGGTGTTATTCTGGGTTTCCTTAGGTGTTTTGGCATTATTGAAGGGGTTTTGAAGTTATTTTTTGTGTTATT